GTTTGAGCGTCAGTCGACAGCCCTCCAAGTCACGACGCTCGACGCGCCGTGATAGTCTCAGACTCGGTTCGCGCATGCAACAGACGGGCCGCATGAGAAAGAGCCGAGAGCAACACTTCCCACTAACGTGCGAGGTGGTAACTAGGTGTTTATGACGGGTGATAGTGTTTTGAAGTGCGGTGATGGTGTGGTATAGCTGGAGGTTGTCTACTGCAAGTTTTCGTGAATACGCATGTGTCCTGGTAGGCGCATGCGGTGAGGAATGTGCGGCGGGCAGTGAGGGCAGTTAAAGCGAATGCGTCGGGTGTACGTTGCTGCTCCAGGCACTGGCTCGCTCCACTCTGTGTGATGGATTCGCAAGTAACCGACCAGGCCTATGGTTGGGGTGAATGTACGGACACACACACACACATACCTCGGACACTCTTATCTGGGTTGGTCCGTCGGTCAATGACGGTTTCCTTAGTGTAACCGCCGCGTTGAGTAGAGCTTCGTGGGGCCCACAAACAAAAGCCAAGTGCCGGGACGGAGAGAAGGAGAAGTGTCCACCAACGCCCAAGGAAAACTATGCAGAAATTCGGCTGTCCTGAGCGATTTACGCAGATGCTATTATGACTGTGTGCTGGCGCGCATTACGAACAAGGGCGCAATCTCCGTGGCATTCGTAGTGACCAGCGGAGTGGAGCGGGACTACGTACTCGCCCCCGCCCTCTTCAGTCTCATGTTATCAGCCATGTTGATGGATGCCTACCGTGATAAGTGCCTTGGGATACGCATAACGTACGGAACTGACGGACATTTTCTCAACGACGGTCGCAGGAATGCCCTAACGCGACTATCTACGACTACAGTCCACGACCTGCTGTTCGTTGACGACTGCGCGTTCAATACCACGACCGAAGTTGACATGCAGCGGGGCATGGACCACTTCGTCGCTGAGTGTGTCAACTACGGCATGGCAATCAACACAGACAAAACAGTGGTCATACACCAGCCGTCATCGAACGCTGAATACAACCCTCCTCGGATCAATGTCAGTGACAACCAAGTCCAAACCGCAGACAACCTCGTCTACCTGGGAAGCAAACTTGCGCACAACGCAAACATAACCGATGAGGTTGTTTGTCGGCTCTCTAAGGCCAGCCAAGCTTTTGGCCAGCTGCAAGCCTCCGCGTGGAATCGCCACTGTCATCAGCTGAATGTCAAACTGAAGATTCACAAGGTCGTCGTCTTGACGACACTCCTGTATGGAGCGGAGACCTGAACCGTCCATTTAAGCCATGCCAGGAAGCGCAACCACTTCAAACTCAATTGCCTTCGCAGAATACTGCAACTGAAACACGGAAGTCCTTTGACGTACTGGAATCCTCGGCATCTACGCCATGCTGAGGCAACTGCAACTGCAATGGAGTGGCCATCTGGCGAGAATGGACGACGTTCGCTTATCAAAACAACCCTACTACGGAGATGTCGCCACGGGTGTTTGCCGACTGGGAGGACCATAACGACGCTGCATGGACACTTTAAAAGTTCTCTGAAGCGATTGCGTATCAACCCAGCCATCTGGTAGGACCTTGCCCAGAACGGACCGGCATGGCGAAAAGAAAAAAGCTTAGCGCAGTCATATACGGGACAACCCGAATGGCCGCGGCCAAAGCCAAAAGGGGGGCTCGCGAGTCACAATTGCCTTGACTCTTCAATGTCAACAGCCAGCCGTTTCCCGCATGCCAGTGCCGCCGATGCACATTCCGCGCGCGAATAGACCTCGTAGGACACCTTTGGAAGCAACTAACCGGCAACCCGGCAACTTCCGCTTCTCCCACAAACATTCCTACTATCACCCTTGTCGCAAACGTGCTGACGACGGCCACTCTTATCACTGCTGATCAGACTGCCGATGCCCCGCCGCCATCGATCTCCGCCATTATCCGCCCTGCCCAGTCTTGCGTCGATTACAGCGACCAGATCCCCTAACGTAACGACCTTTCGCACTCGCCTCACCCATGGGGCGACATCCGACGTCCCTTCATATACTTCCATCAACATCAACACCCCTGTCTCCAGCGATGTGGACTGTGTCCCAATCTGCCCTCATTATGATCGCACATCCATCTCACACATCGACCTAGCCGGTCACTTATGAATCCATCGCACAGAGACTAGCCAACCAATGCCTGGAGCACCCACATACACTCGCAGCATCCGCCTTCACTGCCCACGCACACTCATTCACCACATGGGCCTACTAGCCCACATGCGCATTCACGAAAACCTGCAGTAGATCATCGCCGGTCATACCATACCATCAAATCTCTCCTCACGACCATCTGTAACGCACACTAACATATCCATCAGAACACAACGCAACCACACAATTGGCACATCTCACGTAAATGATGAGTGTGCTTCTCGACTCCTTTTCCGTGCAGCCCCTCTGCTGCATGTGTGATCCGAGTCTGAGACTATCACGGTGCGCCAAGCGTCATGTATTGGAAGGCTGCCAACTGACTCCCCAACTCAGTCCACGCAGTCTGCCCGGCAGCTCAATGGCGAACCCGCAAGAGGCATAGACGATCTTCGGGTCACCATTGCCGATGTATGTGGTCTAATCTTCTGCAACAATTCTGACTTCACTGGAGGTAATATGTCTACTGGAGGACAAGTGCAGAACTCGTCCTTTTCGTCGTTATCCACGTTGAATGCGGACACAGACAGCAGCCGTACTTATGTTGTTTACTACCCCATTTGGTCGAATTCGGACGATCCAGAATGAGACAGATTACACAAAGCGGCGGTTGGTGCAGCATAAATGAGATGCAATGTTTGTGGAAGTTGCCACAGACATGGGGGTGGAGTGCAATGTCTGGTTGTGGCTCTTTGATAGTTCCGGACTTTGCCGCTCGAATTCGCTAAAATGTTTTCCAACCCCCCTCTGCTTCGATCTGCTGGCTGCCAAGCCACTCCTTTCAGCTGGGCTGGTGAGTTTACGAATGAGAGTGTGGGGGACGCCAGTGCAAAGCACGGGTAGGTGTGAATAACAATTCACGGGCGAATTTTCAAGGCAGCGAAAACAGTGGGAGGATTGAACGAAGGCGAGGTGCTAGTCGGCTGCTCAGTAGAAGGGCGGCGCCGGAGCTTTGCTAGGCCACAGGTTGCGCAGGTCCCTGCACGGACCAGCAAACTGCGTGGCGGTATAAAATATTGGCTCAGTTGTCCTAGTTCACTATCCGTCATTGATGGCCTACATGGAGTGGGTGGGACAAATCAACCAGAAACATTGTTCGCCTGCTTCACACATTTGATAGTTTAACTGCATGTTGCTTTTTAGTCAGATATTTGATCCCCCCCAATGTCTATTTTTGGTCTCTGCTATGCATACGTATTTTTTCACAATGATTCTACAGGGACGATTCGATGGAAGTGAATTAACCTTGTAGTATTACCCACTTGGTATTGGGTTTTTACGGCCCTAAATGAGACATTTTACTATGTGAACAGGATTTAAACATGTACCCTTTAATATGTCGACATCCTTAAATACGGAGTTATTTATTTTTGTGCACTTCACGAGCGGAAGGTATTCACTAACCACTTATGTGCTTGGGAATCACTGTCATAACTGCGTATCGCGGGATGTAATAACGTAGACTAGAAGGGCTGGAATATTCTCTACTGGCTACTTTGTTGTTTCCAAGTGCTGACACCGCTAACCGGGGTGTAGGGGTGTCCAGTTGTGGATACACACAATGGTCGTAGTAGGTCGCTCACTTGCTTGCAGGTGTAGACTACGCCTAGCGTCCATTTGCTGGCACTCGACTCTCCCATGTGGCTCCCCGAAGCTAGGCTCTTCCCAGCGACTACATCTCTGTAACCACCTCGACCAGCGGGCCAAGCCAGGTGAGGGTATCCGCGTGTGTATCTCCACACACACACGGTAGCTCGGCTCCGCTCCTACCGCTGTTGGCCGGATGGATCATCGCACCGCCATCTCCGAGTCAGGCTCCGTCTTCAACCCCACCGGAGGCCACAAGGAAAGTGACCCCCAATTAAGCCAAATACCGCTTGCTTGTCCTCGCCTGTTCGCCCTTGCATTTCGGCACTCACTAAGCTACTGATCCTGTAGTTGGAAGGTCTGGCTCCTTTCTACTCTTTCACACCTATTCTCCGCCCCATCCTCCACCCTTAAATTCCCGTAGTCAGTTTCCTCTACTCAAATCTATTCTACTAACTTGCTTTGTTGTCTTTGCTTCGTTTGTCGTTGTTGTAAGCTAATGCCGTTCTATTGAATTTGCCTGCCCACCATTTACATTTCGCCAACCAGTTAACTCAGAGAGGGACGAAAAACTCTGCTTCCCGTCTCTCTACCCTTTCCCATACCGCTTCCCCTCTTCAAGTTCTACGGCGCGAGTGACGCGATCTTGTGGGCGGCCCAGGCTAACTCGGGTCGTTGTCCAACTAAACCAAAGTTATGGCCTATAGTGGAGTGCGGCAGCCCCCTGACACAACTGAGCAGCCCTATCTAGGGAGAACATGGCTCGCCCCCGAAAGGGGGAAGGGGTTAGAAAAAGTGCCCTAAAAAATGCTGGGGAACCACGACGTCTGCAGATTGATCGTGGTCGCAGGCACCACCATCATCAGTGTTTACGCCCCAAAATAACCGGTTCAGACGAGGCGAAGATTGAGTTCTACGAGGACCTGAACGCCCTCCTGGCGTCTGTGCCGAAGGCGGATAAGTTGATTGTCCTCCGTGACTTCAGCGTTCGAGTCGGCACAGACCCTTCTGTCTGGAGAGGAGTGCTGGGTCCCCATGGTCTCGGCGGCTTCAATGACGATGACCTGCTCCTCGCGCGAGCCTGCGCAGAACATCGCCTCAAAAACACAGAGCCCTTATCTCGTACTGTGGAGGAGGAGGCGAGAGTGCGGTAGATGCAGCTGAAGTCCACTGTTACTATAAAATAATTCACGCGCAAGTCACCGTGCCTGCCTCACCTTGCTGGGGAGCACACAGTGAACATCGTCGGCAACGACGGTCAAACTGTCATACCGCTAACCACGGATGTGTGAGACCTGGAGCTCGAATTCGCACTTTTTCGTCCTTTGGTATGTGAGAAAGTCGGTTCACGCCCAAAGTCAGTCGCTGCCTGATTTATCCCCATTTTTTCCTTCATTAACTATAGGGCAGCGGATACCACCACCAAATTGACCTTGTATACTTTCTCATGGCTATTAGACCAACACTTCCGCATGAGCCGCAGGCCAGAAAGTTTCCAACCATGAGGGAGTTAACATGTATTCTTCAATTTTTAATACCCTCTGGTGTGGTTTCCGGCGTGTTTCCATCTGTTAACTAGAAGAGGAAGTTTCGAACAAAGCGCTTCATGTTTTTTTAAGTCGAAGTATCTACAATTGCCCCTTAAAGCGGTGCAGTATACAAGAAGACGTTTTTGAAAGTTGGCATTGTATCCAGAAATGGTTACCTTTACGCAGCCTTAATCTTTTTTGCTGAACACAGTATTTGGTTTACCCTTTAATTAAATGCCCAGCCGTGAACTGCTGTTTTGGGGGTGTGTGCTTTTTTAGCTGTCCTCTAAAACTTGCAAGCCTTACTATCGCTGTTCCCCTGTTTCTCGATATCTCAGGCTATATAATGCTTAGTAATTCTGCCGTCAAGCCTATTTTTAGCGAACGCGACCCCTAGAGGGGATTGAATTCGCTGGATTTGTACCCCTGTTAACATTGCAGTGCAGACATACTAACATTGTCATTGCATTTGTGTTTAGTGTACCCTGACTGCAATCTGTACCATTTACATTTAAGAAAAATCATACATTCCACTATGCTATTTAGAAGTTGCCATATAGCGGTCATGAAATTTTGTGATAAATATGGACTGGGTTGTTTACTTCGAAGGGAGCACTGATAAACGGACAAACACGATGCTACCTACCATGGTCCTAAAAATCGTCGGATTACAAACGTTTGAGAAACCGAAAGATGTCCTTTTTCGTGAATACAATTTGAATAAGGCGTAACTTACTACACGATGAGTATATTAAAAAAATGACTATCTGTACACCTCCTGTAACATGTATGGGTTTATGAAGGTATAGAAAATCAATGCAAAATCTACACTACGTAAGTAGTCATTCGGTAAATAGTATGATTTTTCCAAGTGGCTGGAAATACGTGCATCCAAAAACCGGCATCCTGGCTTGACTGAAATATTTTGCGATTATTTTACATGTTAATCGATGCAATAAACCTACCCAGGAATCTTTCTAACCAAGATCATATTTCAGAACCCCAGTTAGTGTTTCATGAGACAAGTCATCTACTTTGGATGTTTAGGTCCTAACGGTGGATTCCAAAGTCCAGTGCTCGGTGTGCACAAATTTCACACCCTTGACCATGGCGGCTAGACCCAAGCCTGAAATAACCATCTGGCGTGGGCGCGATGGTCGCTGGCTTGGGCTGTCAATAAAGGGGGACTACGCAGATCCGGTCCTCGTCGCGAGAGAGCCCTCACGCCCTGGCAAACCGCACGCCAGCAGCCAAAGGCCGATGGGCCCAGAGGAGTTATGACTCATTACTGAGCATTTTATGACTCACCGTTTAGCTTGCTAACCACAGAGGCTGGTCGAGACCCGTTGACCTCAGATTAGGCTCCTCTTGAGGTAGTTATCCGTTGGAGACCAACAGGGGTGCCCGCACTCCCGCTGCTTCTCTCGTTCGGCTACAGATGTAAGATTCGTGAATATAACTGATGCACTGGGTGTATGCAGCTGAGATGCTCTGGTAGATTCGTAACCGTGGTTTTGTGATTAGAACAACCAATTCCCAACTACGTTAAAGGTGCCACGGTGTGTTAATCGCAGGTAGTGTCGTCCGGCGGGCCTGTCTTCATGTCAGATGGTGGTATGGCAGTTTAACCGTCGTATCCGATGATGTCCACTGTGTGTTCCACAGCAAGGTGAAACAGGCACGGTGACTTGCGCGTGACTTAGTTTATAGTGAATGTGTACTTCCGCAGCATCTATCGCACTCTCGCCTCCTCCTCCACAGTACGAGATAAGGGTTCTGTGTTTTGCTTTCGAAGTCCAGTCTACGACCCCTGCAGGCTGCACTACCTCTTGTCTACCACTCTGTTTACCGACCTAGTCCTAATAACCGTCATTAATATTCAATCTTCTCTGAGGTCGACCAAGATAGTACCACGGGCATTGTGCAAGAAATTTATTAGAGTTTGACCGAACACACGTATGAATTGGCTGAACTTCTTCTTTTCCTCAGTTTCAAGAATGCTGCTGTTTATAAGTTAATTACGATGGAAATTACAGCGAACACGTGTGTTGCCTGTCACGTTCCATTTCTATCCAGGCAGGTGTATTGCTTGCCTGGTGTTCGGCATGGAAATATGTTGGCAGTTGAGGGGAAGTTGGAGATTGAGGCTAGGCCACAATTTTCGAACAGGACAATGTCTCATTGCCTGTGTTTAAATGGAAGCTAAGCCAAGATTCTGCTCTGAGCATTTACGCCAAGGAGAATTACAAGTCGGTGTTTGCCCTGAGCACTGTGGTGATGTTCAGCAGTGAGCAAAAGTAGTAGTTTTCCGCATCAGAGGGCATTCGGAAAACAGACAATGACGTAACAATGACCTACACCGACGTTGGAATATGCGTGTGCGGAAATTGTTGTCGATTAGGTAGTCATCTCTTTATCATTTACGATGATTACTCGAACTTAAGGTCGAAGACAAAAAAACTCGGCTTCAATAAATTGCAGTGATCAAGCCTTCCTTGAAGGACGGACGATTCAGTCATTAAATAGGACTTTTATTCACGCACATGATCTGACCCTGTAAAGGTTGGCCGTCCACTTGTTACGTTCCGCCCATTCTCCACTCATTGCTTTTTACGACAGACGGTTTTAATAGTCAACTTTTTGGCACTGGTCGACAGGCCTTTTTGAAGAGCAGACGAACGGATAACTGACTGCTAGCGGACAACTATTAACATAAAGAAAAATGAGCGCACAGTATAAGCTGAGACCGCGACGGTTATCCTCAGCAATGAACGAAATTCCCGTAGAGTTAAGTTGGCGGATTTAGTAACTGTAAGAGACCGGGGACATTCATACAAAGTAATGGAATGTCGAGGCCAAAAGAAAAAGCTCCGAGGGATTTCCATAGTCCATTGCGATCGTAGAAACGTGGCCCGAACTGTCGTGTAAAACAGTAGAGTAACAGGTCAATTATCTTCTTTTATTCTCGCCATCGAAGGAGATAAATGCAAATGGACATGCCTGTGACGAGGGAGGCTAAACGCTGATGCAATCATGCAATCGGTTCGATCTTTCGTGGCATGCGATGTCAGCACTTAAATGCATGTTCGAGTTTCAGCTCTCCCCTGCTGAACGCAGAATTCGATAGGAGTGGAAGGGGGTGGCAAATCGAACGGAGCATAATACATTTGTCGAGTATTTTCTTACAGGTCATCAAGGAATCAACCGGAGACATAATTGACGGCAGGGCTGATGGAAAAGGAAGATAGTAAGTGAGAAGTTGCTTAAATTTATTGGTTCGAAGTTTTAGAAGTGTACGCAGAATACCCAGTACACGGATGGATGCTCACTTTCTAACGACCCTATGAGCGCAGACGGCCAGAGAGAAACGATCTGTGTCCCAAGGCAAGGCGAATCCTGGTTTTGAAAAAAATGTTCTGGGAGTGCAATGTGCAAAAATCTCATAACATCACACTTCCGCCTAGTACAGCGAAAGCAACATGTTCGGAAAAATTCAAGATACTGGAGTGCGGGAAGTGAAGATTTTTTATAGTTTCAGATTTTTGGATTTTAGCCAAAACAAAATCCTCCTGTTATTCGATCGGAAAATTTGCTCAAACTATTAGTAGGAGCCAGGACTCGAAATAATCCAAAAGGAACACATACAATATCCAATTATTTTCGTAGCTGGATCTCTGCTGCAGACTCTACGCTTATAACTTACAGTAAAGTCTTCGGCAGGTACACTACAAAACGCCGCCTTCGGTGGAAACATCTTCAGACATGTCGGAAGAAATTCTGACGTCCTGAAAACGATTGGATAGGTGAGAAAAAAGCCATTCGAAGACTTAATCAAAAATATGAAATGACACCATCGAGTGCTTTACTTAAATGGGAATCAATAACACGAACGGCAAAACCCCGATCTCCTGTTCGGAAAAAGAAATTATACAAGGGGCAGAACAGAAACGGTCACGCCCACAGCCGTGCCGTACATGAGCCACTAGAATATTAGTTCATAAAATGGACTAATATGCGGCGCAGAATCAGATTCGAGGCTAGTTTGGTGAGAACCACGCTAGTGCCCTTATCGTCACATAAAAGTCAAAGATCGGTCTATTGTCAGTCAGACCAAAAATTGCCGATATTAACGAGTTTTTGAAGAAGTTGTAGATGTACATGAAATTGGATCAAGTGGCGCCATTAACTCCTCAGGAATACAAGTATACTTTGTCGCGGTCCATTTGTTGGTAGAATTAAACGGCCGGAAGAAGAGGCTTTTATTAGCGAATATTTAGCCTTATTTTCAAGGGAGCTTACGGTCATGAGTAATAAAAGCTTTCCGAAGAGATATATAAGACGTAAATCTAAGGTTCAAGAGGGGTAAGTCGATCTTATTTGGAGAATAAAAAGACGCTAAATGTATCTGGCGGCTGTTACCCTTTGTGTGACTGCAGCAGCCTTGAAGGAAATGTCACAACTGCTGATTCTGCTGACGTCATAGAGGCACTTATGCAAGCTGTTGACATTTCAGGTCGCTTCGTTGGCCAACTATGTTTTCTTCTCTGCGATTTTGTGCGACATCGCTCGGCATTCATTTATTACATTTTCTTCCTTCAATACTTTCGCAGCTAACTGTGGGCGAA